AGGGAAAAGAATGGAAAGACAGATGTGGAAATGAGCAGCTAGCAAGCCTGAGAGGAAGATGTAAATTAAGTGTCTTGACTGTGAGATAATGGTGGTAATACAATAATTGGAGCTGTCTAAAGAGAAGATAAAGAGAATTCCTATACTTTTATGTATGTATTTCAGGCTGTGTAGCTACATGTCATAGCTAGCACATCAGCTAGCTGGAATGTGTTATATATATATAATTACCTGTACATGTTATTATGTATCAGAACTAAGGGGACAGTGGAAAATGCTGCAACACTGACATTTTTTTCACTTTATAAAGTTGTTAGCAAACAGTTGCCTTTGCATCAAGTAGACCCAGAGCAACATTAGTGTCACACTGTGGGCGTATCTGCTCTGCTGTTTATTTGGTTCTCAGTCAGTCCTGTTATTTGTAGTCTTTTCTGTATCTGTTATTTAGTCAGCGTTTTGATTTGGTCCTGTCTGTTAAGGTCTTGGGGAGTTGGTCTATGCGGTTCTGTCTTCTGCTTGGTCTGTGTGGTGGTTCTGATCTGTCCCGTTATCTCTGTGTCTGCCTTAGTACTTGTTCAGTTCTGTTCCTGTCTCACTTGCATTAGTTCTGTACCATCATGCTTGGGTTCTGTCTGTTTGCGAGTTGTCAATTCATGTTCCCTGCCAGTTTCATTATTTATCTGATTTTGATCATTCTGCTCAAATTTCTGTGTAGCCTTGCTTATTATTTTATTCATCCGCGTCTTTTAGTTACTTAGTATCTGTCTTGTCTTGTGTCTTAGTTCTTGTCCTATACCTTTGTTCATGTCTTAAGTGTTTGCTCCTGGTCTGTGTGCTTCGGTGTTGTTTTGCCATGTCTACTCTGAGTTCTGTTTAATCTTTGCCTCAGTCAGTTTCCTTGTTGGTGTTAGTTTATTCAGTATCTGTCTGCTTGTGTCTGGATTAGTTTGTTATTATTATTCTGGTCTGTTACTACTCACTTTGATATGGTCCGTGTTGAGTACTTGTGTTATATCTGTTCCCTCTTCAGTATCTGCCTGCATGCAGTGTCTCTGTTTTCCTCTGCTCTCTCTTTCTCTCTCTGCCGGCCTGTGTCTCGTTAGCCTCATGTCCCTCACCTGTGTACCTCCTCCCAGCTCGTTAACCCTGTGTATATATCTTTGCTTTTTTCCCCTCAGTCTTTGTCCGGTCATTGTCGCATGTATGCTCAGTCGTTTGTTGTATGTTCTACAAGTTTGTTGTATGTTCTACAGTGTCATGCGTTTGGGCTCACTTCTGATTTGCACACCCAGCAATCCTGACACATTAGTATTCATTTGGAATCATGTTTCTGGCCACCTGAAGAATGTAAATCCAATATTCACTCTCCTTTTAGCTCTGTTTTTGTCCCCACCAACTCCTGAATATGCTAAATGATTCACTATGTTCGCTAGCTAGTTGCTAACTGTCTGTTGAGTGGTGCTTAGCAGGTAGCAGAGATGCTCACAAGTCTTTGAGCTAGAGTCAAAGTCAAGTCTCTTTTTTTATTTACAGAGCACAACCATGTAATGTGCAATGCCATTAATGACAGCTGCAACTACTGTAAGTCAACCCCCACCCGACTCTCAAACCAGTGTAACGTTATAACTAACTAAACCTGTAACCTGTTTGCAGCCACCGTTAATAATTCATGTGATGGAAATGATTACATTAATCGTCTACCACAAGTTTGGCAAGCAAACAAACGCTCATTTATTTTTTCATAACGAACAATAGTCGGACCTAAACTCCCGTAGGTAGTAGTTAAAGCAAGAAGCAAGCTAACGTTAGATGACCAATGCTGAGCTAAACATGTTCACTAACCTCAGGTTACTAACTTATTTTGCGTGCAGTGATTCTGTGATTGGGTCTTGTTATATTAAGTTTTAAAGCCAAAGTTTATGATGAATGGAACAGCAGCTGCCGGTGTTTGATTCCCTCTCTCACGTGTGGCTGCATGCAGCAGATACGTAGTATGTGTTACGTAGGCAGGTTATAGGTAACGCAGGAAGGAGAATAACAGCAAGCTCATCAGACGTTTCCTAAAAATAAACATTGTTCACGGGTCCTGCACCTCGAGTCCGAGTCAAGTCTGGAGTCTTTTGAGGACCAGTCTCAAGTCGATTCTTAAGTCACATTGTGTGCGACTTAAGTCGGACTCGAGTGCAAGTCTCAAACTCGAGTCCCCATCTCTGGCAGGTAGTTTATAGTGGCTTAACAGACCTTGAAAACAACAGTGAAAACGTGTTGCTGCAGGGAAGCAGGTTGATGAGAGCAGTCAGAGTGACTAGAACATGAAGTTCCATCCATCCATCCATCGTCAACCACTTGTCCTGCATACAGGGTCACGGGGGGGCTGGAGCCAATCCCAGCTGACATTGGGCGAAAGGCGGGGTACACCCTGGACAGATCGGCAGTCCATCGCAGGCAAACATGAAGTTACGGGTCGTAAAAAGAAATTAACTTAAAGACACTACAATAGTCCATAGAGGTGTGGAGAGTTGGTTACTCATCACTGGCGACCCCCTTGACATTACATGTTGTCATTTGTTAATAAAAGCAGCTTTAGAGTTCCTGCACATGCACACATTGTTTTCGGTTGATCAGGCCTCTGCTCAGGTTGAACTTGGATGGAGCTACATGTAAATTTTGTAAAGATACCAAAATCCATATACTAAAAAAATGGTAAAACTAAAACTTGTCTAGACAACTAACAAAATAAGGAAAGAGTGAGGGAGATGCCAATGAAGAAGCAGAGAGCAATGAATACTTAGTAAGTAATATTAATGTACAGTGGTAATGTTCAGTGGATCTGGAAGTGTAATAGGCAAGGTTTCTTGAGTAAGATACAAGTATTGTATGTCCTATAAGACAAGTATTGTATTATATTGTATGGTCTTACATTATTACATTGCATTGTGTGAATATATATGCAGTTGTATTGTATGAAGTATATTGTCCAGTATTAAATGATAAGGAGGTCTTACACTATATTAAGATCCAGATATCAGATACCGTGACTTCTACATTCTGCAAGTCTATTCTGCAAATGTTCACAGGTGTATTACTGACAACTCTACGTGACATTGTGCATTTCTTACTACTCCATCATGTTCTGTTCTCATTTTCTAGGTGTGTTTGCCCTGGTCAGCCTTTCAAATGGAGAGGGAGCTGAGTAGGTGTTTAAATTACAGGCCTCCAGGTAAAAGAGAAAGAAAATGGGAGAGCTGAGAGTAGAGAGAGACAGGAAGCAGATGCAGAGCAAGACTGGCTGTCAGACAGAGCATGATAAGAAACAAGAACAGGATCATGTATTTATGTAATCAGAGTTCTAAAGATGAATATCAGCACATGGGGATTATTGCTCTGCCACATAAACAAGACTCTAGTTAGGTAGCTGACAACAATATTACCATGTGTTCATTACTTTATATTCACATAGTATCATCTATCTCATGCCTGTTTTTTGATGATGATCTATTAACTGATTTGTTAAACAGTACATACACATTGTTGAATGTGTAAACTAATGGATGTCTCCTCTTGAAAAGAACTGGCTCACACAGATGATTTAATGAGTCTACTGGTGAACACAAAAGAGTTTGAGAGTACAAACCTGCTCTTTTTTGGATTTTGTCCCTGCACAACACTGATGTAAAATAAATATAGCACAGCCTTTAGCTGTTAGATGAGACTTTAGCTCACTTTTGCTAAAGGGCAGAGACGATCAGAGCTGCAGTGTTAATCTGCAGTACCAGTACATCCAAATCAACACTTATGTATTTCACCCTGAACATGTAAGAAAAACTAGATGTATGTCGATGCTCAAACAGGCTTACTGATGCAATTCTGTTTTGTTCGAAAAACACTTGCAGCAATTTCTTCACTGAGCGCCCCAAAGCTCAGCGGTATTTAAAATCCAGCACACCTTTGATTGGCACACATGCGTTCTCTCACCCCCTCTAAACCAACAGCAATAACGCATACTCAAAAACCTCGGGGAAAGGCTACAAGTTAAAGATCGAGAAACAACACACACCCGGTTACCATATTAGGCTCGTGTCACCCTCTCTTACTTCCTTTGCGAGTCTTTGTTTGCTTTGTCCAGAAATGTCCCTTCAGTACCTCACACTGCTCCACAGTGTTGCAACCTAAGGCCTGTTGATCAATGCAACCTTAATTTGTGAGCATGGATTATAATAGAGGCATTAGCGTGCATTGATTAGCGCTCCAGTGAGAGGGCTAGTGGCAGTATGAACGGCGAGTCGATAGAAACATCACTTGCAATGACAAAGACCTGCAGACCCCCTCTAAGGGGAATTTAAATGTCAAGAACAAGCTTGATGTTGATGGGGAGTTTACTGGGCTTTATGTTCAATTTTGTCTGTGACTTTTCAACAGTTTTTTATAATTACAGATCACTACACCGTCTTGTATTTCCAACCTTTCTTTTCATTTCTGTAATGGTATTTGAAAGTTCAGACATTTACGTTTGACATAGCGCAACTGCAAGTTTTGGAAGCTGTCCTCCAACAGTGGTCATGTCAAAGTGTGTGTGAAAGAAACACAAAATAAAGGTAAAGCAAGAGGTTTAAAGTTTGTTTTACAACATTTTGAACAGTTGTGAGAGTGGTGGTGATTAAGACTTTGAGTGGAAGGTTGCTGGTGTTCACTGTGCTGGGAGCTCAATGTGGAGGGTGAATAGGCATCTGACAGCAGAAGTCTCTGGTTGCTACCTTCTACAGACTGCGCATAAAAAATGTGTTTATTTTCAGCAATAGTGCCTATAATTGCCTGTAACCCAGTGACAATACAGGGTTAAAAGAACTTGAACGGTTTTAAAATAAAGTAATGTCCCTTTAGAGAAATCAGCCAATCTGGGATGATAGTTCCCCCTCCTAGCTGAACTTGATTGACAGGTCACGACGTAACTGCGTGATCTTGCGCGACCCTGCGCATGTGTAACGTTATGTGAGAGAGACCAGAGGAACGTGCTTGATGGTGACAGTAGAAAAGAGAGGAAATTAACAGATTTAAAGTAAATAAAAGTGAGTGTATTAGCAAGCTAACGAACCAACACAGAAGACAGGATAAGGAGGAGCAACCGGGAGTTTGGAAAAATCCCATTTTCCACCTCTATTCGTCTCGGTAAGCTAGCAAACTGCATGATGCTAATAACGTTATTTCTAACTGCAGCGCTGCATTGCCAGTATGTGTATTGGCTGTTATGGGAATGTTCATGACCCAGAAATTGATTGCTGATAGTGATTTAAAGTTTTTAATTGTAATTAGCAGCACAGTACAACGGAAAAGACTAAGCTGATATTCAAGTTAGCGGAGCTCATCTGCATTTATGTTCATTTGCTTTGTGTTAAACTGATGATACAAGAGGCAACTTTTTAAGCAATATTGCTGTGCAACGTTGCTGGTGGCAAGTCTGACTATGTACGGATAGCGGCGGGCTGGGGAGGGGGTTATTACTATAGTAATCTGTACTCAATTACCAACAACATTGACGGCAACATTGCCCAGCACCATTGCTCTGGAAGATGCTCCGTGTATCATCAGCTTTAAAGAGTAGCTGGGTGAATTACCGTACACTACACTGCTATTGAAGGGAAGGTTATGAAAAAACATGTGTTTTTATGATGATTTTATTATAATGTTGCGTGTGGAAATATTTAACCTTACTGTTAAAATTCTGCCGTGGGCGCTGCAGTAAGTTCGCACGCTCACACACTTTGGCATCCGACTCTAGACAACCGCTTTTCTTTTGAGGTAACGTTAACAGTCTGTTTCTGTCACTCGTTTCTGAGAAGGCGATTAAGCTAGCCGCTCCTAAATATGGAGTGCACACGTATTCAAGCCTTTATGGTAAATCCACTGAAACGGATCAGAGCGAGCTGACAGGCAGGTTAGCGACTTTATCCTGTCAGTTTATCTCTTTACAAAGACAAGTGTTGCAGTATGAGAGTCCTACCTGAAGAGAGACTGTGAAGTCTTCATGTTACGCCATATGAGAATCACATACAACATTATTTATCAAATTGGGTCCACTTGATGAATTGAGCAAGGAGGATACACATGTGACAAAGTCCGGTTTTCAAAACAAGGTGTCTATACAGTATGGAAATAAGATTAATTGGATTATATTCAGAGAAAGCAAGAAAACATTTTACATGTGTCCATTAAAAGTGTAATAAAATGTTAGGGAAATTACTTACTAATTCTATTTTCTATTATTTAATTTAGGATTGCCGAAAAACATTAAACAAGAGAATATTGTATACATAAATATATCAAATGAGAAAATATAAAAATATAGAACAACAACGATTAACCGCCATAGTCTCTTAAAATCCTGTGGGAAACACTGACTAAGTTATGTAGAGCCTGTACTGCCTACACTTTTTCCTAATACAGAAATAATAGTAGCTTGATGTTATTTCAGTTGATTCATTATCAGCTGTTTTGTTACGGTTATTATTACCGTACACATTTTAATTACCATGATAACTGGGTACGGTTAACCGCGCTATTATAATCTCACGGCAAACACTGTCCAGCGTCTCCCAGAAGCAGGTGCGCATGTGCAGAATGCAACGTGGGTTTGTGTGGGTCAATGACAACACGGCGGAAGACAGCGCAGCAGAGATTTTCACTCTGAAGTCGGTCGTATTTTAGTTTCTATGAGAGTGCTGAGGGTAACATGATTGAAGAAAATAACCTTATAGTGAACGCAGGGTGAGTTAACTTTTAGCTTTGGTTTGTCTGTCTGACTTGCTAACAGCTTGTAAACTGAAGCTCTCAGTGTTAGCTGCTCTTGTAAAAACGCTACACGTTCTGTTGCTGTGTAGGTCGGCAGAGTCTATTTGTCCACTGCACATAATACGTTACGCAGTTTAGTCAACCAACCAGCATATCTAGAAATGCTACAGACTCCTCTGTATTTATGTCAGTTGTTGGGCTCATTGCACTTACTATCAGTGTCTTCTAAAGACTTATTTGTTTTCATGTAATTGTCCACGGGGTCATTGTATTACCTATATAATATAAATTACAAAATCTTGATAATGCACACTTAGATGATTGTCATATGTTTACAAAAGGTATTTGCTGTTTTATTTTTTATGCAAACAAAATGGCAATTGTATTTGTAGTTTTCAATACAAAACTTGTTGAAATGGTTTCAGTGTGTACAGTACATTTTAATATTTTTTGGCACATTTTTACAATACCGTGATAATACTGATAAACGTGATAATTTTGGTCACTATAATCGTGATATGAAATTTTCATACCGTTTCATCCCTAATGCAGAATTATGTTTTAACCCACCAAATGTCACAAATAGTACATATTTTATACTATAGACCCTCACATTGAATACAATAATGAAAGCCACAACTCAACTATGAAATGCAACAAATTGTATTAACAAAACTGTACCACAAAACAATAAACACAACTCACTCAGATTACCACTCAGGGTTCAGTTCATTTCAATCCAGAAAGCAGTTCAGTTCAGTTCAAAAGCAATTCAGTAATCAATCGTCCTCAGTAGCAAAAAGAAAAGAAGGCTGCAAATAACAAAAGCTGTGTTCATCCAGTACAAAAAAAAAAAACATAGGCACACTGCTCCAAAAATAGAAGGGGAGAAAAAAAGGTTTTGCGGAACTTACGACCTGCCTGACTGTTAATGGGATCTGGACCGGTTTGATGGCGATGGTTTTGGTATTTTGGGTGGCTTGTTGTTTGGAGGTTATTGCTGAGGTGCTGATGAAGAAGGGGGCTGATGTACGGGAACGTTGTTCTGTTGCAGTATGTGAACGAGGAAGGGATTAAATGGCCTTACTATTACTGTTCAACTATACTGAGTGTGTTGCTTAGAGAACACACAAACTTTTCAGTATTTCCACGCTTTCGTTATCTGGACAGACTCCATGTTGGCGCCAACGCTGAACGAATAGGAGGTCTGCCTACAGAGTGAGTATGAATGGGCGGTGTTCATGAGTGGTGCAACCTGAGAGGTGCAGGTTGTCACAATGGTTGTTATGCTTTAGTATGATTGTTGTACAACCTATAGATATAGAGAACAACATTTTAAAGCCCTGTTTGCAAAAAAACAGGTCAGGTCTTATGGACAGAGTGAGAACTACTTGGAAGATCCCGTCCATCGATAGCGAGCCTCCCAGTGTGATTTTGAAGAGACGCAGACCGACACATTGTTTACTCCACTTGGTGGTAGGATGGTACCAGTCGCCTGTGCTGCTACACGAAATTCATCCAACTTTCCATTTAAACAAGGAAACTGTCAGAACTGGTGACAAACACACACAACAGAGAACTTTTGACAGTGGATTGATGAATAAAAAAATTATCACAAAATGGACAAAGGTAAACGAAGGAAAAACCCAAAGACTAATTTATTTTAAAGGGCCCAATTTTTTTTTTCCATACATGTTATACAATTATGTTGCTTGCAAATTTATGTGAGTAAAAGTTACTGATTACAAGTTACCTGCCCTGATACTTCCTTTAATGGCTACAGTTTATATCACTTAGCTCCTTCCGAACCTAGCACAGTGTTAGCTCAGTTTTAGAGAGTAGCATGGTTACATGTCCACTAGAGCCCGACCGATATGGGTTTTTGGGGGCCGATGCCGATATTAAAGTGAAAAAGAGCCAATTTATGAGCCAATATTTTGATATTAAGAATGATTTGGATAGTAGACCCCTTTACTGTATAAACTACACTTAGAACAGGCCAGTATTGAAAACTAGTGTGTATGTGGGCTATAAAACCTTTTCCTGAATGGATTATGGTAATAAAATTGATTAGTCTCAAAAAGTGAACATGTAAACAATTGCACATCAATAAATATTTGCTACTGGAAGGTGCAACTTCAGCTGTCTGTAAACAGAGAGAGAATAAGCATGTGTATTTCACTTTACACATAATCTGCCATAATTTCAATGTAGCATATTCACATCTAGTTCATCCCTTTACCAGCACTCTTTAATTCTAACCAAAGCTACGTGAAACCATTTAACCACCATCGGTATAAATCATGCCGTCTAGGATACAGTGAGCTGCTGTTGAATGCATCTAATACTACAGGAATGTTTGAACTTTGAGATTTCATTTAACTAACGTTATAACTACAACCAGAGCCGTTACGGCTCTGACTACAGAGTTTCACATCTACAATGTCACAAAAAGAGGAGTTACAGGAAGCCGTGATTCTTGTTTAGCTCACATTTATTTACATGTCCGCTCTGGCTTAATCATTTCAAACACGCCGACTAACTGCAGACAGGCGGCCTGAAGATATATTTAGAATATGTCAGAAACTATAGTTTAATGGCTTTAATGTTAGTGCTCCTCCACTGATAAACACGGCATTGGCTTTGTGGCTAATTTAGCAACAGGCAGCGTGAGCTGCTGTAACGTTACGTGATTTTAGAGAATATTTAGAAGTGATGATCTAGAGACAAATGTAATGAAATTAATGCACAGTTACGTCTGTCCAGCAGCGTAACTTTCAGCACCCAACTACTGTAACATTAAACTACTGTGAGTCTGGGTCTGTTGGGTCTGTTTTTATTATAATTATTAAAGTCATGTAATTAACTTGACAAAAGACCAACTAACCGCTCACACAGCCCTCTGCGTGATTCTAAATGCTGCGTGTAAGCTCCGGTAAACTCTGGTCAGCTGATTGTTTTCTTCTGTGGTTTTTGTGGTGAGGCAGTGTAGATAACAGGGAGCTGTAGCTGGTCGCCCTCTGGCAGGCAAACTATGCAACACCCATGACATGAGTGAAGGATCTGACTCTAGGTTTCTTTTTTAATAATCATATATGTGCTGTTATAAACGGCCGATGCCGATTAAATGCTGGCAGAGAGCGCTGCCAGCATACAAAGCTGAACAACATGACAACAAGATCCCCAAAGAATTGCTTTTGTTTAATAATTCTACTATTCTGAGTTTTGTTGTCTAAATTAAAATAATCTCTTTTGCATGCACACTTGAAACATGTGCACGCGCAATTACCATTACCCCCCAGCAAGATAACACGCATGTCTTTCCTGTAATGTCGTGTATCCAAACTGAGATAACAGAGAATTTGGCCAGTAATCGGATT